ATATGAGAATATTGTATACTTGCCTATCAGTAATTTTCCTTTCCTGACGCCAGTACATGGCAGCATACAATGGGTATGGCTCATTGTATGCTGCCATGTAGGTGTCAGGAAAAAAAAAAATCTTTTTTTTACAACAACGGCCCGGAACGCGGCAAAACACACTGCACTGCGTGTGCAGAAACTCATGCAGATCTGGTCCGCATTTGGTGTGAACAAGCCCTCAGATCTACCGACAACGACATAGTCCAAGGTCATGCCCGATATATATTGGATATATTTGGTAGGCCGGGGATGGACAAATCCCAGGAGCCAGGTTGCCGATGCTCCCTAAATAAATGGTGCCCAACTTTAAGGTTTTCTCTAGTTATTGTCAGTGGAGCTGGCTCCTAAAAAAAAAAAAAAATCCTGCTGGATTGGACAGACTGACCCCTGAACTCCATATTCATTTGTTCATCCCTTAGATTAAGTCCAATACCTCATATTACTTAGTTTTGGTAAATCAAATGTTGATTGTACAGCAATTTTATATGGCGAGCCTTGTAATACAAATATATAACATCCATAGACCAGTTTCCTGTCTTAAAAAGATCTGGAATGTGTGACTAATTTTTACTTGTGGGGGAACAAGTCCAGCTGGGCACTAGTATTCCGAATCTTATGTCCAGTCTGGTTGACGACGCAATATCTGTTCCGGCAATGTTCTTAAAATGTCCTTCAAATGCAGCACATTACAGGCAGAGCAGACATAATGGGCATGGCTGGCTACACAGTAAGCCCTGGTTCACACCTAGGCGTATTGCATTTGCGCGGCTGTCGCGCGGTGTTTTTACCGCAATTTGGTAAAAAGATTTGGAAAAAAAATCGTGCGACGATCGCGCGTTTCCGATGGCTACTTGGCTGTATCTCAATGGAAACGCGCAACAAAAACGGCCCAAAGTAGTACATGTACCTTTTCAGGCGTGGGCCGTTTTGTAGCGCGTTAGGGACGGGCTGAAATACGCCAAGGTGGGAACCAGACCCATTGAATACAATGGGATTGAGATGTTTGAGCGTTTTGTAGAGCGTTCGTCGAGCGTAGAACGCGCTACAAAACGTTCAGGTGTGAACCAGGGCTAACATTGTATCCCATCAGACTGCAGTTGTATCTCTGATGGCCTGTAGAGTGAAGAATGCTCGGAGGAACTGTCATTGCTGCCCCTAGCACATAATCAGCCTTTCCCTTCCGGTCTCTGACCTGCCCTAGTGACCAACACAGTCCTTCGTCTAGACATTTTAGTCAGAAGGTCATCCACAATCTGTGGCCATCAGTTGTAAAATTATATGTACAAAGATCACAAAATTGTGCTCTGGCCATACGTACATGTATGTGAATATTCAAATCTCTCATATTCCCATGACGTTTGCATACAATCAGACAATTTGTGGTCTAATAACACACAGTAATGGTTTATCTGCTCTGATCATTAGAGTAGGATGACAAATTGGATGAAGTTCCCCAAGCCACTGTGTGTCTGGTAGGCAGACTCCTGTCTCCCGATGAGATTGTTTGCTGCACATAAGGGGTGAGATTTTCACAGGATACTTTTTATTGTGTATCAGTCTCCTCAAATGTATGATATTTTTGATTGTAGGCATTCGTAGATTTGGAGATTTTATGTGTATGAAATTGCCAGGTTCTGGCCGAGGGAAGGTATATGGACAATATTCTGTATGGCAGTTTTGTTACTCCCTTTTTTTTTATTTTTTTATTTTACTGATGGGAAACGTGTCTCCAGAAACACTTCAGCGCTCAACACTCAGATTTCCATTTGATTCTGTAGTTCCTGATCACATTTGTGTCTTGCAAAGCTTAATGGGACTTGCAGGTTCGCCACAGCTGGGGGGGGGGGGGGG